CATGGACAGGGCACAGCTACCCCGTGCACATGCAACTGTAGCAATGTAAATGTACACTGGAGTAGGAAAGCAATTTGGGCTTCTTAGCACTACAACCAAACAAATCGAGATAACAAAAACCTCGTCGATGCTGACGATCCCAGGGAAGATGTGAACATTACGCTTTGCCCTAGATCTGTTTTATGATATCCATCTTTCCTGCATTTTCTCCATATCTAATAAAAAATAAAATAAAAAAGGAACAATAGTTTAGCAGGAATATCCCCAAATACATAAATGAGTATCGTGGTCTGAGGCACACTTCCCACAAGTCAAAATTAAACTTTCTGGGAGCATGCTGCATCCTAGGTGATGGGAGCAAGTATTCCTGGTTGCTTTTCATACCTGAAAGAGTGAGGGTTAACTTTGTTGTCTGAAGCCTGGTTGTCGCTGGCACAGTTGTTGCTGAGGGAAAAGTAGCCAAAGAAAGAAGAGACACTAAATCAGAGCATGGTCAGCAGGTAACAGCCACCCCAGACCTCAGCTAAACAAACCTATTTGGGGATCAGGGATTTTTAAGGCCATTTTTTTTCAAGTAAATATGGGTCCTAAGTAATAGCACATTTAAAGTATCCATTCCCTGACCATCTTACAGAAAGGGAAATGCCAGAACGTTTTATGGTAAATCCTAAAAACTTACAAATGTTGAGATTTTACCCTTCACTGTTCCCATAAAAAACTAAGGAAGGCAAGGAGTCCCACAGGTGTTCTAAATAAAAAGCCCAATTTTCAGCCAAAACTTTTTTCTAGTTTTTCAACTAGCCCTTTTTTTGAGCTCTGTTGCTTTCCAACTCTGGCATAGAAAGGGGCTGCCGTATTTTTGCCCCACTCTCCTGTTATATTGTTTATAGGAGGCATATAGAGACTTCTGTGTAAATCAGCAGCAGTTGCACCCATGAAATAAATTTATCTTTCTGTTGTGTGGAGGGCGCATACCATCTTTTTTCTGTGCTTTGCAATGCTATTCAACCTCCTCTCTACTTTGCAAGACCCTTACTTTATTCTGCAGCTCTGCAAAACAATGGGAAACGGGAAAAGGAAAATGTCCTTTGAGACTCTGACATAGAATTTATAAAAATGTGAGTCTCCTTATGAAATGAAGAAAATAAAAACCTCGGCTGAAAAACTTGCTGGGCTGAACCCAAAACAAAATACTGAGTTTCATTCCAAGGGATTTTCTTAACATTAAATCCCTTCTTTCAGTTACTTGTTTTTTTAAAAACTCAAATGTACTTTCAAAATGAGCAATTAAATCTTTTCTTTGAAAAGAAATAAAAGTGAAGGCTATATTTTCTCATCAAAACTACTTATTCAATTTGACTCTCTAGTTTTGACCCTCCCTTAAAACTACATTTTTAATTAAAATCATTTTTTTTTGCCAAAAAGCCACACCCGGATTTTAAACTCATATCCGGTGATAGGTTTCTAACTGTTGACTGTACAGATCAAAAAACCTCACCTCTGACCACCTCCAGCTTCATATTTCGTTTGATGTCGTTGAACCATCCAGGGATTTCTATGCGGCAGCAATATATACCTGCATCTTCTTCCTTGACTTCCTTTATTGTGAGAGACACATCTCCATAGGAAATAAAGCCCTGAAGACTGTATCTCTGAGATTTTCTGAATGTCACCCTGTTCCCAGTGGTGTGCAAAATTTTGTTATTGCATTTTGAATTTGGGCACTTGCCTTTGCCCCAGCACATGTCTGAGATGTCTTTCCATCTTGCTACCTGATAGAAGCAAGGTAAGGTAACAGATCGCCCTATTTCTCCTCTAACAACAGTGTCGGATGTAGCGTGCGCTGTCAAGGAAGAAGAAAGAAAGAAGAATGAGGAATTTTGGCAGCTAGCAGATGCAAGGTTCTACCTACGAAATACAACATATGAGGAAAAGAAAGACTGACCTCATCCTGTATCTGCTTGGTCTGTAGGAGGCAAGTTGAAATCAAACACCCATTAAAATACCCATTAAAAGATCTCCTAGATCAGGGCCAGCTTACGCTAGCAGAGCAGTGGGATCTGTCTCAAGCCCTGCCAGTTGTCCAAGTTATAAATTAGTCCCTCCCTCGCAAAGCACATTGTCCACGCAAGCCTTAGTTACTAGCACTATACTGACGTAAAAAAGAGCAAATTCAAGTTTTCATTGTGCTTTCATGATCAACTTTACTTTGCATTTACAGGCAATACCCATCTTAGCATCTGGTTTGAATCTTTGCTACATGTCATTCCCTCTTAACTGCCATGCAATTCCCAGATCAGGCCTAAAAGGGATTTCTGCATCATGAAGGGCACCATACTAAAAGGAAATATTCACATACGGGGACAAATTTCTTTTGGTCTTCATTCATCTTTGTCTATATCAATCCTTCTACCTTCTCCTATGTTACATGTGGCAAAGCAGGACCTGAGGGACCTGAGGGAAAACCCAGATCTTGTCCCCTATTGCAGCAAGAGGATAATTCCACCATTCTGATGCCTCACGGTCGGTTTGCTTTACCCCAAAGAGCAGTCATCACAGCGGCTACTTTTATCACTAGCTTTGGCCTTGGTTTACTGAACATGTCTATTTTGCCAGCTGTTTGAATGCCTTTTCTTTTTGGCATGACTCCCAGATAGCACAGAGATGCTTCCAACAGTGTTTGTGTCTGTTTTGTTTTGTCATTAATAGACTATTCACCAGGTGAGATTTTTGTCTGTGGTATTCTGCCTCATGACTTGTTATCGGGATGACATTTTAGCTTCATTACTACTTATCCAGTTGGCAAGACAAGCAAACCATTTCAGGTTTCTATAACTCCAAATGCTAAAAGAGTGGAAGCAGATAAAGCAATATGCAATACGGAGTGAAAGGCAAAGGCTTTTGTACGGAAATGAAGCTAGGATTTGCCAAAAAATTAATGTCTGACTGCAGCATAAGATTTTGCAAGATGGCTGCCTGTTTCACTCATTGGAAAGGGTAGGTTCATTTGCCATGCTGCAGCAAAAGAGAGACCTCTTTCTGTGACGACAAAGCAAAACAATTTATCCCATCGACCTTGAAGGCATCCACAGATGAGCAAGGCATTAGTCACTGGAAAGGGTCAACACATGTTTTCCTGTCACCTCAGAAATGATGTATGTAAAAAAAAGGGCAGCATGAACTATTCTTTGAGTTAAGGGAACTTTTATTTGGGGAGCAGGATTATCTTTTATTTTCATTTCATCTCACTGCTCAGTTCTGCACAATGCAAAGGCACTGTTTATTAGGCAACTGTTTAACAAATAAAAATTTGCCTGCTCTCCTCTTTGAAAGAAACAGACAGCTGAGTTTATTAAAAAATAATAATAAGAAGAAAAAGGCAGAAATAAGGCACCAGCGTGTCTCCAATGCAGTTTCCCAGCAGTACTAGTGGGAAAATTACCGTTTTTGCCATTTCAAATCCTCTTAATTTATGCAGAGCTAATGTTCCTAACATCTACGTTCACTGCAGGTTAGTTGTGAGAGCTTAGATACTGTACCAGCCTTACTTCAACAGTATGAATTACTGCAAGGAATAAGTAACTTCCTTCTCAGCTGTAGCCTCATGCAAAAAGGCATTTTCCAAAAGAAATAGTAAATAAGACTGAATTAAAATGCCTTTGAAATTAAAACAGAGACTCCTGGGACACCCTAGTCTTAGTCTGCAAAACAAATTATATCTCTGCCCTTGGCTGTGACCCTCCTGAGCATCCAGTTTTGACCCAAGGCATCAGCTATCCCTGGGCAGTCATGCTGAAGTCAGTGAGGCTGGCCATTGTAAGCACATAATGCAAGTATTAGGCAGTAACTCCAACAGTTACTTTTCTCCTGTAGACTAGTCTTTGCATGGACAAAGACCCACATCCTCCAGCCAAGAAAGATAATTGAAAAAGAACATTTTTTTCTTGAACTCTTTCTGGAATAATTTTCTTTTTTGTAGAAGATACTTAATATCTTTTCCCTACCAATCCTACTTTTTATATTTTTCCTTAAAGCTTCTGTTACTTAAGAAATTGCAGAGAAAATCATTGATAAATAGCAAAGCAGCCATTAACTGCCCACTATGCTGTTTTCTGGAGTCCCAAGACTACCCGCTCTCAGCAATGAGCTGGATTAAAGGGAGGATGGTAATAAAGAGTTGGTTTCACCCTCCAGCAGCTCTGCGTGTAAGAATGTTTTTGAAATAAAATTAGATAGAGACACGTACCTTCAGTTTACTTTGAGGATGAAAATACAGTGAGGACAGAGCCCTCCTGCTCATTTTACCGAGTATGTTAACAGACCAAAAATATTATGGAATTCCCTGGGCTACAGCAAAGTGCCTGCCACGATCTGCTTACATAGCAGACACCGTGTAGGCTGGGGTTGTGTTAACTTGCCTCGTAGATTTCAGTGGGACCTGAACCACCTCTTGTTCCTCAGTGCATTCCATCAATAATCAAACCTTTCCATTACTTTTCAGACTGATTTAAGAACATTGCAGTTGCTCTAGATATTATACTTGATATTTCATCGTGTTAGAGGTTGGCTGATTAAATGTAATATCTAGTCATCTAAGACGAAATCTCTTGAAATGCCTAAGTGATTTAAGAGCGCAGTTCCCATTAGGGTCTCATCAGGCCCCACTGAAAGTTGGTGAAGTCATCTTCTTGAGCTACACAGGCAATTCTGAAAGTCCACTGCTGATGTCTAAATGCAGACACAAAAATGCAGCTGATGTCAGCCATGCTTGTAAGTGCTGGACAGGACCCAGTCTCCCAAGTTATTGTTCTTTGACTTGTATCTCTTTTAGGAATGAGGTTTTAAATGGGCAAACACTGAACATTTTTGCAGTAGAAAGAGGGGAATTTTGAAATACGCTCTCCCTTGACAGCACTCTATTCATAGTGGCAGACAGCCCTTAGACCTTCAGAAAATCCCTTCTTTAACACATGTACACATGCATTACTCTGGTAATGTTTCAATTCCCTAACTTTGGCTGTGTCAACACTGTATTATTGCAGAGAGATAGATGGACAAGCAAAGTCAATTGCACACATTTAACAATGGCAACAAAATTAGATATTTTGGAGGGACAGGGGGAACTAACCAAACCTATACACAGAGGAAGCCACATACATTTTTAATAACTAAAGATATTCTAGATCAGTAGTACCTCAGTAAGTTTAAAAGCTTTTGAAGTTCTCTGTACAACTACAGCCTTTTTCATTGAGACGTATACAAGCACAGGCAACACAAGCGCCACTGTTTTTAGCACTACAAATTCTTTTGGTTTTTGAGCAAGCACACAGAAAAGCAGGTAAAGACTCACCTACAAAGGTCTGTATCAGAATCCAGTGGAACAACACAAGATGGGACATTTCAGCCGATGGAGACTTCAGGGCAGGGATTGGAAGAATAGAGAACCAGATCTTATACATTCCAGAGGTGCTGAGTGAGCACCACTGAAGAATTATTTCTCCATTTCCGCTTTATATGTATTGAAACTGCTTCTTTCCTACTCTTCCAGGGAGGTGCTCTCTCCTTTTCCCCTTCTGAGACATTCAGTACGGTACTACTGCCAGAGATTTCAGTATACTATTTATTTTGACCTTCCATCAATCTCTTAAGGTCCGTCCACTGCTGTACTGAGTAGCAAGAACAAGCTCTGTGCTCTTACATTCAAACATTTGGCTTAGTCTGCACCTCTGACGTTGTCCCCTCCTGTGTTTTCCTAACCTCTTCATCGCCCTGATTCTGCCTTCTGCTTGAAGACTCCTCTCTTTCTCTCCCCAGCTTCACATTTTCTATGTGCAAAAAGAAGCTTGGAGGGCTTCTCACAAATGTTCACAAACTTAACACAAAGTCCTTTCCAAAGATCTGACACACCACCCAGGAAATACTTTTACTTTTTCTGACCAGTTTGGAAGATGTCTCTGGAAAAGGAGTTGACCAATAAGGTGAGAAAGTTTGCCAGAGTTACACAGTAGTTCAGGGCATTAAGGTCAGGGGCACGCATTAAGAATGTAGAAGGCATTTCTGAGACAGGGACTAGACAACAAAATAGCAGACAAAATTCTATATAAAGAAATGTGAAACAGTGCAAATGGGGGAAGCAGTTCTAGGTTCAAATAATGAAATAACGGGTTCTGAGCAGATACAGCTTCCCCAGCAATCACATTTTGGGGTCATAATACTTAGTATAATGAAAATGTCACCTCATTGCTCGGTAGCATTCAAAAAAAAAAGCAAATCAAATTTTAGCAGTTACTAGTAAAGAAATAGAGAACAGAACAGATGACACCATTATTCCACAAATTCACTTTGAACCTGTGTGCAGTTCTAGACCTCTTAACTTGAAAAAAGCATATATTAGATCCAGAAAGGGTTCCAGGAAGGGCAGAAAGAACGGTGAAAGTGTGAAACAGCTTCCACGGGAGGGATAACTGGCTGGGTCAGGACAAGCTAGCCTAGAGAAGAGTTGACTGAAGGGGTACTACAATAGGGCTACAAAATCTTGAGTAGCATGGGAAGGTTGGAGAGGGGTTGACTGTTCAATGCCCACCCCCAGCACAGCATCAGAGAGAGACTCAAGTGTTCGCAGACCTGCTGGATTCATTAGGCCACTGGAATAGGGGACACCTCTCATTAGCATCCTCATCCATCACACCACTACTATAGCGCAGTGGCAAGGAGCAGATCCCAACAGCCTGGGCTCCAGCACAGCCAGAGGGCCTGCTTTCCTTCACCAGAGAGTAGCCAAGCTGATGGTGCTGTAGCCATTTCTTAATGGCAGATGCCAGCAGCATGAAGCTCAAAGGTTTTTCCGAGTTTATTCTAAATCAAAGCGATGCTATTGCGCTGTTTTGTACCTTCACATGCTTCAGTGCAGCACAAACAGGAACCACTGAGGCCAGACACTGCAATACAGCAGTATCCTGTTGTCAATGTTATAAGGCAACCTGACCAGCAATCAGTAAAATACATGATTTACCGTCTTCTACAAGGTACAGTTCACAGGGTGCCAAATACACCAAGCGTCAACTGTTCTGTGTAGGCAGAATGAATGAAACCTGATGTGTCCAATATCCCTGACGCTTATTCCCCTGCAATAACACCAGTTTCCCCTTCGTCCCTATCCCTCTCTTCCATTGAGCAGCAGCTGTGGAGTTGTGACCAGCCCAGTGCTGCCCTGATAGGCACCACACAGGCAAGCGTGGGGCTCCAGATGGTGCAGCCTGTAAAGGAGGGGTTTGCTCTGCGGTGCTCCCCAAGAGTTTAGGAACCTCGGGTGCACCACGGCCAGAGTCACCACACTGTGGGGTTGTCATAGCCCTCCAGTGACCCCGTGAGTGCTGAGTAAACCTAGTCAGCAAAGGAGAAGTCACACCGCAGACTCACACCGTAAGCATCTAGGTACTGTGAAATTTTGCACTGGGTTATCTGTTAAACACCCGCACTGATATCCGTTAATTTGTGTACTGTTATCTGTTGAGCATCTTGTTGAGCATCCTGTTGGTATCTGTACTGTTATCGACTGAAGCCATCTGTTCTGTTGTGTAACTGTGGTCCGGCATTGATGGACTGGATAATGAACTGAGCCTGGGAAGGATAAAAGCAAGCCACATATATCTGGTGGGGACTCGTACTCATCAGCAGCTGGCCTGCAGACCCAACAACTCACCCGTCAGTGGGGACGCCTCTGTTGCCAACTGCCGGGGAGAACCTGAACCGCCTCGGTGCAGCTCGAGCGTGGTGAGAACAATCCAGGGAAAACTATACCGGAGAGGTGGCCCTTAAAGACAAGGAAAGGGTGAGAACAGTCATTGTACCACACATCTGTGACTTAACCACAGAGCTCTGATATGTGTTGTCCAGTGTTTATCCTATACGTAGAGCCACTTAGCCCTAATAAATTCTTATATCGGACAAATGATGACCTCTCGAGTTCACTGTGACTAACGCTGGAATACAAAAGAATCCCAAACACTCCTCTGGTGGTGCATCACATGCCTGCGTGCTGCCTGGAGGCTGGGACCTGCCCATGAAGCTGGGGCTACACAAGGAACAGCTGAATCCCACCTGCCTTGCCCAGGGCAGCAGCACTGCTTTGGGTCTTTATCCAGCTCCCCATTTTAATGAAGGCTGTAGAAAAAAAATTGGCCAACGTGTTCCAGATTACTACGGAACAAAGAGAACAAGCATGGCATTGCATCAGCTTTGCTTTGGCAAGGCTGGGCTAACACATGCAGCAGAGAGCACTAAACAAGGCCACTTAAAATCCAGCTGATCCAGTGCAAGTGCTCTGGGGAGAGCTAGAGCAATCTGCCTTGTTTTCTGCTCCTGTACTGCTATCTAGTGGTCTCTCGCAGGCAGAGAAGGGGGGGCAGAGAGCTTCCTCAAAAGTCAGCCCCTGCTGTTTGCAGCTCCTTAGCCTTATCAGGTTCACTGTGCTGCCAGCACATGTCCAGCTGGATAATCTCTTAATGGGGCAACTGACTCCAAGTGACACCTGTGCATCTCTGTGGCTTTTTGAAATGCCTGTTCCCAGATCCACTGACATGAGAGGGAATAATGAAAATAATGAAAAAACAGGGGAAAATTCTGCTTGCACACAATTATATTTATTATATGTACTCAAGGAATATATTATATATACCTGTATACCCAAGGTGAAGTTCTTGCTATGCACAACTTTGGCAGAGTCTGTTTACCCAGTAACTCCACAGCGCGCAGAAGCAGAAGGAAACTTTAAGAAAGACTTTGGCTATCAAATATTCTAGAACTTTGTTTTTTTATGAGGACTCTCTGCTATAAGAATTAGTCTATAATATTAGTTTTAAAAAAATCCTTAAAGGTAAGCAGTTCTCATGTTAGCAATCCTTAAAGACGGTCATCAGACTACTACTTATGACTGATTGGAATCACCTCGTGTGCTAAAAGGAATCTCCCAGACAACTTTGGAAGCCCCACACTTGCCTAACTCTGATCCCAGTGGAGAGGTGATTGATTCGGAAAAAAGCTGCAGGAGGTAGAAATTGCTGCAGATGTTTTCTGAGACCTGGTTCAGAGATCAGACCAGACTTCCTCCAGCTCTGGTCATGGTCCAGCGCCCACAGCAGTGACATGTGCTCAGCCAAGCAGCAGGAAAGTAGTGTCTACAGTGGCGTCATTCACTTTAATTTAGTAGCTGTTACTGATAGTCAAATACAAAAATACAAGCTAACAAGTCTATTCCAGTTTCAGTACCTTTTTACACAAAATAACTCATGACATGAAGATATATGGCAGAGCTGGTTTCCTCCACGGCCTCTCCTAGCCCAGCTCCAGCTTCTCCACCCAACACTTGAGCATCCACTCCCGGCTCTTCACTCACATGTGATTTCATCATTCCGTTTTCAGCCTTTTAGGCTTGTTCTCATGTGCAGCCCCAAGACAAGGCACTTCACAAGTGATCATATAAAACACGCCAGGGCCACCGGTCCCACCTCGTTCTCTTGCCCTACAGGAGAGTCCCTGTGGCACGTGCCGCATCTCCCCAGCCAGGGTCGCTGGGGCTTTGGGGCTGGGTTCCCCCTCCCCAGGCAGCTTGAGCCCTCCTGGGCGGGGGGGAGGTGTCACAGCAAGGCCATGGCCCCCAAATATCTCAGCTGTTAACATAGATATCTGCTGATGTTACTACTGCTCCTTTTTGCCTCAGTGGGCACTACAGCTTTGTTCTTTGTATGGCTCCCTGGAAAACGAAGATCTCAACGACAGACAGGCTGCTGCAAGTGTGACTGCCTGCCAGTGTGCCCAGCAGCAGCAATGTTGCTTTAGGTGTTGCACATCGCTGCTCAGACCAGGCTCCAGAGTGAAATCTGTGCTGACTGATACTTGGTGAGAGCCCATCTCCTCTTCTGCCTCGACTACTTCTCTGCTTTTTCAGGAAGTTCTTTCTTTCTTAAAAATAATTGAGGAAAGCTATTCTTCTGGTTAAAGCTGGGTTGGAGACTTGTGTCTGTTGCTCAACAGTGCATGAAGGGCTGATTCATCCTCACAGGGCTGCCTCCTTTTTCAAGTAAACCAGTGCTTAGTGTTGCACAGAGCAAAAAGTGAGAGTCATGGCTAAAGGAGGAGCTATGCAGGAAATGCTCTAGGCCACAGGTGCTACCTATTTATAAACTAAAACCCACCAAATAAATACAGCATAAGACATTAGAGCTGTTTGGTATTTAAAGGAGCATAAAGGCAGGGCAAACTTTCAACCAACATTTTGCAGAATGCCCAAGCAGTGAGAAGAATTTAAAACTAATTTTCCAAAGTAGCTGTTTTAGAGGTCTCGAAATGAGACTTTCTACACTGAGGACTTGTCAGGGTGTGTGTGAGCTTGAGGAAGAAGCCACAGAAAGAAACTGATGTATTTTGCAGAGGAAAATACACTTAGTCATAGATTGCCGAAAGTGCGTTGTGAATATTCTGCACACTGAAATACTGATCCTGTAGGCTCCAAGGACGTCCCGTGAGGGGCTGAGCACCAACAGTTCCTCCAGATTTAAATGCAGCTGGACAGAAATTAGTACATTGCACAACTGAGCTGTTACCAGGAACAGATATTTCCAGCTTTAATAAAAATTGAATGAAATGTATTTTGAAATATGAATACCCCCAAGTCTTTCCATACTGTCTTCTTTGCCATGGCAGCTACGAGGTTGCTCCTTCCCTCAGATGGCATGGAGCGTTTTGTAGCTGACAGACAGAACACACAGTGAAAACAATTAAAAAAAAAGTGTGTGGTTTTCCTTTTCCAACTGAGCGGCTATTCTGGTACTTCCTTTTCTTCCAAAAAGGAAGAGAAAATCCAAATTGAATAATAAATGCAATAGCAACTTTCTCTGTGGTTCGATAAGTGGATTCTGGAAATAATATTTCCATTTAAGCCAGTATGAGTTCTGTTTTTTGGAATAAGCTGATAAAGATTTTAATTAGAATTGTAGCTTTTATTTGCTTTGTTAGAATGATGTGAGTAATACTTCGATCATCCACTCACATTTAGCTGCTGAGCAGATAGTTTAGGGAGCAGCTAACATTTTGCAAACTATTCAATGTCCCAGTGATGAAAAAGGCAAGCATGAATGCATCCCTTAGCGTATTGTATAAATGTTTTCCTCTGCGTGCATCTCAACTTCCAGGGCATTTTGGTTCCCTGCGCGTTCTGATCTCCAAAATGTGACAGAGCTGCAAAAAGAGTAAAAACCATGCTGTTAAACAACAGACAATAGAAACACAGAAGAGCAGATAGCTAAATCAACCAACTTACTGGAAAAAATGTAAAATATGCAAAAACACTTATTATTTAAATGCAACTAATAATGAATCATTTCTCCATTTATGAGACAGCCCACATGAAGTTTTCATGCCCCCTAATGCAATGAATTGGCCGTTATACTTATTTTTGTTTATTAACTAATGATGAGTAGCAGGATTCAATAATTTATTTTTGCAATGCTTCTTATTAACTTGAGATTAAAAAGAAAATCAAATTAAAGTATGTAGTGGAGTGAACAATCAGCATGTGTCCAGGAGGAATTACAGTTTCTTTCTGGGACCAGCGTTGTCCTGTCAGCTAAAGCAGAAACAAGGAAGAGAGTACTTACCTTGGAAAGTTATTCAGCTTCTTCATATTGTGCAAATAGTCTAAGGAAAGAAAGAAAGAAAGAAAATGTTCTTTAAACCATCAGAAGTAACGAAAATATCAGGTTCATCAAGGGAAAAAAAATTAAGTGCTAGAAACTAAATAAGGGAACTATAAAGCACGTGTTTTGAATATGGGAAATCCCCCTTTTTTCCATGAGATCAAATTCATATAGTTTGGGCTGACCCAAAGTCTCTAACGAGAAAATCTCATGTGAAAAGTATTAGATACAGTTACATGAACCTAATGCACCGTCTCTCATCATTGGGAAGGACGGGGACAACATGGCACGTGGGGAATGGGTAACATCCACGAGCAAAAGAGTGAGGCTGGGGAGGAGGGCTTGTATCTCCTCACCAGCTCCTGGCTCAGCCACTTTCTATGAAGTCTGAGACCTAAAATGACTGGAACGTATTGGCACCGTGCAGATTGGTACCCAAGACGCCACGGTGGAGATCTGACCAAACTAGCACAGGGCACAGAGTGAGGCCGTGCAGAGACATTAGCTCGCTGCCCCAAGGCAGAAGACCTGCAGCAGCTGCCACAGCTGTGATGAGCAGACGTGCCCTACCCTACGCATCCTTGAATAATCTCCATTGAAAAGCACTTACGTCTACTGAGGAACACAGCCAAAATAAGGATGACAAGAAGCACCACACATATGCCAATCCCAACGTATATCCCATTTTCTGAATACTGTGAACTGTGAGCTGATACAGACACGTTCTGTCAAACATAAAACAGATGGGCATCAGCGGCACAAAGAGGAAAAAAAAAATCCCATGACCCAAAGGCCATTTGTGCATTTTGCAATCCTGCAGTAAAAATATACTTCAGAGCAAGAGCCTAATTGGAGATATAAGACTTGTTTCAAAGAACCACATTGCTATCTATAGTTGTGCGAATCATGCTGTTAGATGTGTTGTTTCTTGGGCTTGTCAAAGAAGCCGAAGTTATGACAAAACCTATTCATTTAGAATTAATATTACTTGGTGAACAGTTTATTTACTTTTGTGAGAAAAAAATTGCCTAATGTCTCTTTTTTTTTTTCCTGTCAACTTCTTCAGTAGTTATTCAAGGCTTTTTCCTGATCACTGAACCTACCTTCTCCTCCTCACTTTAGTCTTTATTTAAGTAAAACTTCTTTCTGAAGCCAGTAGTTAAATAGCTAACTTCTCATTAGGCCTAGGAAGAAGTTGACACACAATATGCTCCCTGACTTATATTCTGCACATGCGACAATATGAATGCCCCAGCACATTGAGGTATTTAGTATCAGGCTTTCCTAAACGGTAGCTTGGCTGTCTTGTCTTCCTGAGAAAAGTCAGGTGATGCTACTGCCTGGCAACCTAAAAGATGTGCTGGAGGATTCAGCTCCGCAGGGTAGACACAAGCTGTTCTTCTCACCACACTGCATGGGGGGTGCAGGTGGATCCCCATGCTATCGGACAATCAAATTTCAACTGCTCCCCAGATCCTGTCATACCTGCAAGTCTGTGGTTAGATCTGAGCAGTCCGAAGTGAAATTGGTGCTTGAACAGGGATCATAGGCCTGAAAGGCAATATAGATGTTGCTAAAAATTTTTCTAAATTAATAAGAAGGAAGTAATTTATGCATGCAAAGCAAATTGTTCCCCCGCCTTTAGTAATGAACACATAAGCGCTAAATGTGCAGACTCCGAAAAAATTTTCTTTTGCAATCAAAACAAAGCACTACAAGTGAACTGTAGAGATGACCCAGAACCTCCCATATCTGACCACTTAATCTAGGTATGTTATATAATAACAGAGATGCTTACAGTCTGAGGAGCTTCTGAACCAGAAACTGATGGCCATGTTGTGACGGTAAAGGATGAGTCACTGGCAAACCCAGGAGCTGAGCAAAGGCAAGACAAACCAGCACATCACTTGCACAGAGAACTATTCTGCCATGACAGAGAGGAATGTATACTGCTCACCTTGGGCCACCTAACTAAAGTATCTAAATAAGGAGTTTTGACCCGTTATATAACCAAAGAGGTTGGTGCCTTCAGAGGGCAGTGCAAAACTCCTAAAAGGGGACCCTCTGCTGCCCTTTTCAGTGCTTTGAATACCTTCCAGGAAACTCTCAATTCACTACACTGTCTGCATACAGGACCTGGAATGATGGAGTTCCCAAGATGAGCAACTGCTTTCAGAGCCAAGAAGAGGCAGCAAATGCCTGAAGAAAATTTACTTCATCTGATGAGCACATTAACATTAGCTCAGGGCCTTGAAAGAATAAGTGGTGTGAAGTCATAGAAAGCAAGTAATATTGCATTGTGCAAGCAAACCTCAAATTACCCCCAAACAGCTACATAATAAACAGGTTGACCAAAACGTGGTACATCTGCAAAGGGACCACCATATTTAAAAGTGCTAGAATAGAAACAGTCTGAGAAAGTTTTCACTTCTTCTTTCAAAAAGGAAATGTAACTGTTGTAACATTTCAGAGCTCCTTAATTGGAAATCTCTGAGATTGAGGGAGAATGCAAACAGCATTCCCAATTTTTACTTCAAAATAAAAATCCTGAGAATAAGTTATCATTAGACCATGAATTATCTTTTGCGCGCTGGAAATTTAAGTTGGCTTTTTCAAACTGAAAAAGATATACCTGAGTGGGTATATGACAGAGGTCTATAAACTCATAAGCAGAATGGAGAAATTAAATGAGGAATAGCTGTTTGCTGTCTCTTCCAGTACAATGAAGAGCATTGCATGAGACTATTAAATATGCACACACATCGTGGATTCAGGGAACCGCTGAGGCATAAGGGTAGGACATAGCAGGGTAGGATAATACTCTGAGGATGTATCACAACATTTCTATGCTGTTCCTATGATCCTCTTTAATCATCTGCTGTTGATCGCTCCTGGAGATAGGACCCCGAATTAAATGCACCTTTGTACCAGTCCAATAAGAACTAGTTCAATAAAACTGTTCCATGCTATGTTAAATAGACTGTCAAATAAGTTGATTAAATAGTGAGCACACTGAGCCCCTAAAAATTCACTGCTCATGGGATGCATTTTTAGATAATAAGGTGAGATTTTATATCACATAAAGAAAAGAACATATCAAAAAACAACCACATGAAGAAAATAACACTTGCAGCGCAAACAAAATGACTGCTCAAGCCTAACGCCAAAGATTAATATCTGGGAGCAAAACACCTTCTGGGCATACATGCTCGTTCTGCTGGATTCACTACGTCATTTCAGGTAGAATTTACAGGCCAAGTTCTGATCTCGGGTCCTATGGTAATGTTAAACAAATTTTAGCCAGCACTTTCTATCATCTATCATTTATTTTCCTTCCTAAGATCTTCATGGCAACATAGTTTATATATGCTACTGAGATTAATACTCAAGTATTAAAAGTTACCTGAGGTCTGTTCAGAGGTGTAAGTGTGAGGACTTGGAGTAGTGATCCTAGCTGATGTTAAAAAATAAAACAAAACCAACATACAATATAGTTAACCTTAATATGCATGCATGCAGAGAAAAAGATAAATAGTTTCTATAATAAAAATATCTTAGCACTAATTACACAATCACATCGGTTACCGGCTTGATCTACACATTATTCTGTCTACAAGCACAGAAACACTAAATTCAAAGGGGGAATTGGTACAAATTTTGTCTGTATCAGGTATCTCTCTGTGTCCCTGAGCTTTACTCTGGAATTCAATAGAATTCAAAAGATCAAGTGCTGTCTTCTGTGAAAATGGTGCAAGTATATAGTGCTTCACTGATGAGTAAAGCACCCTACGCTGCCCTTGCTTTTGGTTTCTACACAGAGTACTTCTAAGAATGCTAAGCACTGCTGTGTGCCATGAAACGAAGGAGTATGCTCTTTGTTAAATTACTGTTAAATTAGTGACTGTCCTGGGATCACAACAATGTCCAAGGCAGCTTAATTTAAACAGCATCACCAGCAGCTCTGCCAGGTCCTAAAGATCAATACTGTGGACGATCACAGAAATCATTCCACCACAGCTGTGAAATCCAGACTCAACAGCAGATTTGCCCACAGCAGTATTCCCATAACAGAGCACGTTTGCACTCACCTTTCTCAATCACAACCCTGTAATTGGTTAACTGATCATTGAACAGCCCTGGGATCTCCACACGGCAGCAGTACGTCCCGCTGTCTGCTTCCTCTGCGTTTGCTATCGTGAGGGACACGTCCCCCTCTGACAGTTTCCCTTTCAGACTGTACCTCTTGGAGGACTGCTGTGTCACCTTCCACCCATCTGTCCAGATAATGGTCTGCAAACATTTTGAAGAAGGGCAGGCGTCACGACCCCAGCACATTGTTGTGATATCGGTTCTCTTCTTAACACGGTAAGAGCAGGGCAGAGTGATATCCTGACCAACCACTCCTTTCAGGACTGATCCTGACACTGTGGGGCCTGTGGACAAAAAGACAAGGGCAGTTGCTGAGCAGAGCGTGCACAGGAGGAAGCTTCCAGACCTTGCCTTGCATATCCCAGTACATCCCATTCTATGAAAACCACTAAGCGGGGTGGTTCTGGTCAGGTTCTCCACAAACAGATGTGAAGCCTAACAGGATCGAAGCATGGTGAAGGATAATGTTCCAGCCAGTACTTTTGTTCAAATTGTGTCTCTAACAGGAGACAGAAGAAACACATGCTTTCTGCAGCTTCTGCAGGTAGGCAGAAAAGTGGAGGGAGAACAGAGTTTGGATCTGCACAGATTCTTCTGGGGAGATTCTCCTAGCACTTCTCTGTGCAGCCTTAATAAAACCAGAACCCAGGAGAATTTGGAAACTAGGTAGAGAGGGCAATATCTGTCATTCTACCAGTTGCTTTTTCCAGGGAAAGCAGTACTGAACTCACTTCTGAGGGAGGGAGGTATTTTGGAATGACATAATACAAATGGGAGAACCAAAGTGAGATAATGCTGTGTAAAATCACCACAGTTTATGATATAATTTGTTGCATGAAATTCACTAAAATAGAAGGTGCTGAATTGCTCCTGTACCACTTACACAGAAAAGGCACTTGCTGTGATCAGCTTTGTGGCTTTTCCTTAGCTCTGTCCAGTCTGTTAGCTCTTCATTTCTTTGCTAATTTCCATTGAACCAGTCCACACATGGGGGAACAGTAAGACATTGCCTTTCATTAAAAGCATTGTGGAAACCCTTCCCTTTCAATTAAAAGTCACTGAATGGCAGGTTTCTTCAGAATGATCACTGCTGAAACTGTTTCTGTTTTGTTTCCCTGATGACAGATTTGGCTGGTTCCTATTTGAAGAGATTTTTTGGAGCTTTTCCAATAAAATTCTTATTTTTTTGTTAACTTACTTGCTTCCCTCGTTCTTATGAAGTTTCTAACTTGCTAAGCTCGTATTAGAGGCCATTTAATGGTAATGAATCTTTTCAGGTTCACAGAAGGCTAAGTCTCAGACCGATAAATCAAAACACCTAGCAACCAGTAGCACATTCATTATAGTGAAATTGTTACTTCTGCTGTATTTAAACCACTCTGGTCAATATTCCCTTGAGGAAAGTTATAATAAAAGCTAGGTTAAGTCTGCCAGCCAAAATCATTTGTGCTTTGGTGATCCAATGGTCAAAGCCACCCTGTTGCTGCCTTCCTCTAGCAGGCTCTACGGTGGGGTTTCTGAGGTACCCGTTCTCTCCGCTTGTACTTCAAAAAAAACTGTTTGCCATACACAATCCTTATCACATTCAGTAACATGGGATCAAACGCCTAAATATTTCAATCTGTCTGCGTTAATATTTCAGGGATAAAGTCTCTGCAGCAGCTACAGAAGCTGGAAATATTTTAGTGACAAATTTTCTCCATTAAAAGTCATCATCTATAATTAGGGAGTTCCCCAGGGTAGGTCAGCCAGCATGTGCTCATGGATCCCAAGCATGGTATAGCTTGATTGCAGTTGCGACTTGTAGAAAAGCTGTCCTTCCCAGCTCATCATTTCTTCCCAACCTAAGCTACTTGAGTTATAAATAAGTCTCATGCAGTGACTTTGCCACAGCAACATACTAGAAATTGATCTCTGAAAATAGACTATATTTAATATAAAAAATGCAAGCTGTATATGAATCTTATCAGAAAAAGCTTTATAGAGAACTAGAGGAAACAATATTTGTAATATTCCTTTTCTGTCTATTGAATATATCCTATCACCAAGTTTTTAACGTCTATCTGCCTGCACTAGTACTGCTCTGTAACCTTTAACAATCGGAGAATGTCCTAGGAGAATGGCTGCTTCTTATAAAAAAAAAAAAAGAGAAATCATTTGTCTGTCCCAGTAAAAAGTTTGTATCAGCTAAAACACACCAGAAGCCACTGGTAATTTAAGCTTTTCCTTAACTTCCTAAGTGTTCACCTTCCTAAGGCCTGTAGAAAAGAAATAACCTTGTTTCACATCCTTTCTAAAATGATTTAAAGATCTCTGCTAATCTCAGAACATCATTACCAAAAAAAAAGAAAGAGAAAAAATTTCTGCTTAGGATTACTTGCCAACAGGACTGACAGACAGCCTCACAGGCATTTTTCAAAACCATCATACCCACAATTATGGTTTTACTCTAAAAAAAATGAGACAAGATCATCAGAAGACTATTGAGCTGCTGTGATGAGGTTCTGTGTATAATGCAAAACTGAAATTTCTCTAGCAAATTGTGGCATGTGACAGTCACTTACCTCAGTAACATAAAATCTATCTCAGTAACTATTAGAAACATAGATGCGTGAGATAGTTACCTCCATCGGCTTCAGGCTATTCTTTCATGCCCATTTAGTTACCTGTAAACAAGATCAGGAGAAGCCAGTTCAGGGAGAAACGAGAAGACATGGTGGCTGAAGACGAAGACGAACACTTTGTTCGCCCTTTGGGCACCCACATTTATAGAAACTTGTTTCCTTCATATACTTCTGTTTTCACTTCCTCAGTATTAGCGCGTCAGCTATGCTAGCTACAGCTGAGAATGCCCTTTAACATCAGGATTGCCCTTCCTGTGGTTAGTCTGTTAGTCTCTTACAGCACAGTGAAGTGCTATTGCTGTCACTGCATGCAGCTAAACTCTTGCTGACTGTGGTTTGACTAAAAGGCTAAAATATTAAATACTACTTCACAAGCCTTTTCTATTCTTGCAGATCTGCTTGATTGCAGAGAGCGAAACTGTTGTCCGTAACACCGAGCGCTCTTTTCCCTTAGCTGTTAGCTCTGTTCAGCTGTGATTGCTACTAACACCTTACAGCAGCATAGATAAGAGTTACAAAAAGAAAGCAAGCAAGACACTAGTACCAACTTCTACAGGACAGAGAATGCTATCAATAATCCACCGCCCCATATCACTCCCCAACCTGTTTTTTGCCACAGTACAGAAAATGAGGAGGAGAAACCCCATAGGATATTTAACACATTGTAGTAAATGAAAAGAGCTTGGAGAAATAATGAATTCATAGAAAAATATTATTCAAGCATTTAATCACAAATTTCTGGTTCTAATGCTTATAAGTACCTCGTACTTTAAGCAAATGTTCTCGTTCTAGGTTGTAATTTGGTAATGTAAGAAAGCTGTCTAGAGTTTCAGTCTGTCATCATTTGACACTGTGTCTACTCCGTATGCATCTGAGCTTTTACAGTACGAAGTAAAATGCATAATATAGAAATCACTTTAAAAGCCATATGGAAGCCACACTGTCCAAGGCTCTAGGCTCACTTTAACAAATCTTAATTGAAATGCATTTATTTTGAGAATTAGTGTTCCATGGCCCCTCTCCCTGTCCCTGGATTACATAACTTTTCTTGAGCTTGACATTTTTTTTCCGTTGTTAGGGCTAGGATTGTGGCTGTTATGTTAGATCTCCGTCCAGTGAATGTCCTTGCTGAAGCAACTGATCTACTTTAGATCCTTTTGTAGAGACTAAATTAGGTTTTATATATATTTTTTTTTTACCAAAAATAGAAGCAGCAGAAATACTTCCAAAAACTAGAGTCAGAATCAGGAGTTATCTTGGACTGACTACCTTACATAAGAGCAGTCACCAAACTGCCAGTTTCTTTAAGTGAAAAGGAAGAAAAACCGGAGAAAACTAGCAAAGAGCCAGAAGAACAATGGCAACATAGTTGTGGGAGAGGGCGGAGAGAGAGGAAGAGACTTTTCTATGCAGTGGCTGGAAGCAGATTTAGGATTAAGAAAATGTTTCCTCTTTGTTCCTCTTGTTCTTGGGAAATTGTAGGACATCGTAGACAATCGCTATGGGCATAATTCTGATGTAATAATGATGGCATCCTGAAACTGCTCAACACAAATGGAAAAGTTAGGGCAACCTGGCTCTCACAGGTCGAAGACTCCCCAAGGCCAAGCTAGACCTGTGGTGCTGGCTGAAGACTTCCTCCTGGTGGTTCAGTGTGCGAACATCATTTACGTGTAGATTTCCAGCACAAGTTCCTCCTGCTAGTTATCCTGCAATAACATAAAGTGTGTATGGATCCAAATGAATTTCTCCTTTACATCTGTTATGTCTGAGCTTTGAAATAAATAAGTGGGATATCAGAATCAGGAACATCTTATCCCAGATCTCCACCTGAGCCAATACACTCACTTTACCCAGGTTGTTTTATTCATTCCAAAATCTGCACGAGTTTAGGCATCATCCACTAGGTAGGCTGTATCCCCAAGAGAGCCATCTTGACAAACAATTTACTGCGCGTAGTAAGAGAGAGAGAGAGATCTACAAGGCAACAGTCAGCCCACCTGTTTAGACTGCATCTCAGAATAGACTATGGAATACCTTGACATGATTTCTGAATTCATAGTTGCCTGTTTTCCCTGAGTTCCTATTTTGCACATGTGTTTGTGCATGAAATCAGCACTATTTGTATAGAAAGGCTGCTAACTTCAGGGCCTTTTTTTTGCAGCTCTTAAACTGAGTGGCTCTATATTTTTACTTAATTTAGATTATATAGCCAGACCATACTTTGTGAAATAAAAAACATTAAATATTAAAATAATTTTAAACATTGTCAGAAACGCTTTCTCTCTTGCATCACTTTAAAGCCATACCATGAAATGACCTTTTTTTTTTCCGCAAACGATCAGAACTGCAAACTTTCCACTTTTGTCCACTGACGACACAACTGGCTTGTTTTCATTGAGAAATTTATGAAACTTCTCAACAAATAACCGTGGTCCTTTTTATGCTTGTTCAAATGGTGTGATGGAACCATTTTTGCCCTTTTTTTTTTTTTTAAAGAAAATTGATGTTCTTAAACCGTTCAGTTTTCTTGGGAGACCAGCTCACAAACACATACGGCTGGCATACAAAGATATAAGAAACATCGTATTTACAACAGTGAAATTGTTTCTTCTGAAAGTCATTAATAGTCAGATTTGCAAGTCAATAGTACCAGAGAACTAAACAGTATAAAAGCATTCAGGCAGCGTACTTTAGAAGTGACGTACTTTTGCTACAAATTTCATCTGTTTACACTTCCAACAAAATTTTGCTTAACATCTGATCATTATTTTTTTTCCTTATTGAATTTCATAAGGAATATATAATTGGATACATATTTCATACAATCATGCATTAAAATTTCCAGGACAGAATCCTTCAAATGTTTTCATCATGTCCAATAAAAATTAGAAGTTGGTCAGATAAGGAAAGACATCATTATCAGCAGGTTAATTAGCACATTGGATTGGAGATTACATATTCGTAATCTCACTTTCCAGTCAATGCATCATATCATTTTACTGAAGTTGAAGGGCCTATTTCCCTATGCCAACAGGCATGTGTCACCTCTTGCCTTCACTGCAGTCTACTATTTTCGCAAAAGTAAAGTCATAACAGAAAAGGGAAAAACTATTATTGCTTTGATCTGACAAAAAAGGAAAAAGTTACAGTTTTGGCTGAAAAAAGCCCTAGAAACAAAAGATGATATTTCCTCCAACTTTATAAGTATTTGCTTCAAAGATAGACAAAAAATAGTCATCTTAAACAAAATCTAGGAAAAAATTATTAATGAAATTTTTTGGAAAGTGAAAGTAGTCTTAAGGTTTTTTTTAAGGGACATGACCTCCATTCCTCTCAAAATGTATTTCACAGAAGTTCATCAGCAGTTGCTGTCAAAACCCAGCGTGCAGAGTACTTTTAAAACTACGCTACCCAGACCTACGACTTTATTAAAAGGATAAAAATGAGACAAGATGAGCAGAAAACTATTAAGCACGTATGGCAGTCGTTTCTGAACGGCAAAGTTAAAACGTCTATGAGAAACTAGAGTTGCATGTTACACGACCACTCTTATCCAGGAGGCACTCAATCTCTTTCTTTGCAATCTTCCCCTTTAAAAGCTTTTGTAAAGTAGCTATCCAATTAATTCCACTCACTCACAACCGTTTTCTAGTTGCATATAAACCATACAATTTAGATCTCTCAGAGGCTGAAGAAAACAGTGATGGTTGAAGATAAGACAAGAGTGTTAACTTTGTGCACTTATTTCTACATTTCTGACAAACACGTTTCCACGTCTTTATTATCACTTAAGATGTCATATGCACTTAATACAGCACACGATCCTCTAGCTGCTAGCCAGAAGTGACTCTTCGAGTCATATACGCACACTTGCTACAGCTCATTTCACCTGTATCTGCATGGAACTCAGTCTCCACCACCCGATAGCTAACTGCTTTTGCCTGTCTATTTAGATAAATATACCCGATTTATCAGATAAGATAGAGGCACGGCTTACAAAACCATGGTGAAAAAGCAGAGTTTGTGCAAGTTCCCTCACCCCTGAAGTTTACTGCAGTTTTTTAGCTGCTGTACACAGAGTTTGGAAAACATATATACTACAATATTGCACACCAAAAAGAAAGATTTAAGATTTCCCTGACAGGATGGGCAGGTTAAGGAGACCACTTCCTCATTTCAAACTACAAAAGAGGACGTATATGTGGGCATTTTTGTAATCTCACGCTTGGTTATAACTTACATCTAAGAAAATTAAAATCTAATTATTTTTAACCCATTTCATTCCCAAAATTCCTGACAGCGTAAGCCTCTCTCACTCCCTCTTTCCATAGGAGATTGTGACACGCTACATCCCTAGTGAAGTAATTTTAGGTCCTTTTGTACAATTACATTTGCATAAAGTTAGATGAAGGGATTTGGCAGACTTGACACTGACTTTACTTTTAATATTGAAATATGTATTTTAGAAGAGATCCACTGAAAGTGTAAGCAACTAAAGCCTCTTTGAAATGGAAAAACCATCAACTGCAATTCCTCTGTCTGATCCCTTACTTGCTTCCACACTTCACGGCAAGTAACAAACAGAATATACCCAGAAAAGCAGCAAGTGACAAATTACATCAAAGTACACCAAAAAAAGGCTTTTAATCTGTTGCTTCCACTTCACATGATGCTTTTAACAACTATACATTTTGGTTCTTATGAATAAACACACAGATTACATAACATATTGAACATTTCCATCTGCTTAGTCTTTCATAATCCTTCCCATCACGCATAAAATCAATGCTTTGTTTGCTTGTACAACAGTAAATTAAAGTGTAACATATAGCCTTAGAATCCATTCTGCCCCTTGCTATGATGAGCTAATAAACAGTGTTTTCTTCATGTCATTTCATCAATAATGCTACACATCGCTGCATCTTTGTCTAAAACCTGATCTCTCTTGCAACCTGAACGTTCCCTCTGTTTTTCACTCTGTCCAACACAGTTGCTGCCATCATCAGTATCCATGGGTTCTGCTTTCACTCTCAATCCTCCCTCCGAGTGAGGCAGATCATCAGGCAGGGAGGCCAGGCAGTTCTGAATCATCTCTACAACTCGCTCTAAATGCTTCTGAAATCGCTCTGCTGTTTC